AAAAGATGTTGCTTTGTACTGCCTAGCATGAGCTAGGTATTACCATTGGAAAGGGTATGGCCGAGTTGTGCAAGAGTAACTTCTAATATGTATAGATCTGGGGGAAGCCAAATAATGAGATTGCAGAGACGCCTGTGCATGCCTTGACAAGAAGGACCTTTGTCTGCATGGGAGCCTCCATGTATGCTTGTGTGAAGCCACGGCTTGGCCGAGCTCCTGCAAGTGCGGCTGGACTTTTGGGAAGATGTGTCTTGGACGTGGGTGGAGGGTGACTGGAAGAAGTTGAGCGTTCGCTCATGTTTTGTTGCCCCGAGGAGTGTGTGTGGCAGGCAAAGGGGTAGGCAGAGGAGGCTTCTTGGCCAAGGAGGCCTCTTGCCACCTCTTCTGGCAGCCAAGTTGTGGAAAGGGGTGGCTGTCAGAAGAGGTCCTTGAGAACGCAGAGGCTTTCGTGTCCCTGCTCTGAAGGGATGAGAGCTCAGGATGGGCGTGGAGCTGCTGACCACCAGGGAAGCACTGGCCGTTGTCAGATGTTTCCTGGAGAGGCAACCGTGCCTGCTTCGAGCTGTCAGTGTTACAGGCAGTGTCAGCTCCGGTCGCAGGGCAGAGCAGCTTGTCTGAACCTTCACCATGGATTTCAAGAAACATTCCCTGTCTGGGAAACTATGGCCACCTTCTTTAGTAGTCCCATGTGGCAGGCTGAGCTGTGCTGTCTGGCTGATGCTGTCCTCAGCAGCCGCAGCCCTTCTGCCCAGGTCCCCTCCTTCCTGTGTGATTTCTTGGTGCTGAAAATCCCAAGTCCATTGCCCGAATGACTTGCCCACCAGTCTGACCACGTCCTCAAGGTGTAGATGGTCCAATTACAAAACCTGGTAATCTTGAGCAGGGCTGTCCCTCGTGTTTGATTCAGGCACGTGTATGTGTGCAGGAGCCTTAGCTCACGGAGTTGGAGGGGGTGGTGGGAGATATTTAAATACAAACTTCGAGTCCTGTTGCCTGTGGAATGTATTGCCCCGTTTTCTTTTAAAAATACAGGAAGAATGTCATAGTAGCTTTTTAATTAAAACACAAACTCATAGACGTGAAGCAAGTGTGTGGGAAGGAGAAATAATTTGAATCGGGCTGTGACTACTTGGATCCCGTGTTACAGAGTCATTTTTGCTTTTAGTAGAGAGGAGGGGCTCCCTCAGATCTTGTAATGCAAAGCCTTTCTTTTCTTGATCAGAAATGATTAAGCAAAGCAGATCTTTATTTTTATCTAGTAAAGAACAGACATAAACCAGATTATTTGCTTGCAGTACTCTTTCATTCGTCCAAAACTGTTCCTGAAACAAAGCTTCTAGTAGGCACAAAGCAAAGAAATGGTGCTGCTGCTTTCCGGGTAAGCCATGCCCCTAAATGCAGTGCAACATGTGAATTTTTCAGATCTTTAGGCATAGGGTTGTGTCCTGTTTAAATTCATACAGCGTGTAATTGCATGCAATCATGCTCCTTTAATCTACAATAGCCACCCTTTTTTTTTTTTTTCAGAAAACCCTTGATTGGCAAGGTCAAATATTATTGCTGAACTTGCAAGACTGTAGGATTAGGGTTTGTGTTTTCTTCCTGGTTAAGAGATTATGGTCTGGAAAGGACAAAAAAAATCCACATCTTGCACCTCTTTCATTTTATGTTTGTCTTGTAGCACTGTTTTTTTTCCTGGCGATACCGGAAAGGTTCCTCCAGGGCATCTATATTTGCGTTGTTCTCTGTATGAAAGCAAAAATGCAATTAACTTTTATCTCACCTGGTTTGCCTAGTCCCGCACTTCTTAAATGTCCATTCCTAAAAATTAGCTCTTGATTATGAGTGTGGTTTCCTGGGAGGTTGCTTTTTCAATTCTGAAACTGTGCTTGCATTGAACTTGGTGTCTGCGGAGAGCTCAGCTCTTGCTGTTGAGGCTGGAGAACTCCCATCCCCCAGATGCCTGGCTGCCTGTGTGCCCTCTGATTGGGGCTTTGTGGCATATTTATCATGTGTGATGATAAATCACACATGCAGCTATTCCCTCGGTTGCTGTTCTTGGATGATAATTTACCCTTCCACCTAAACCAGGAAAACCCCACCCTTTCCCAGAAGTCGAACAAGTCCCAGTTTTCACCCAGCATCCCTGAGCTCCAGACTTCTCCCGGGGCTGCCAGCCTTCCTGGCATCCTAATGCAGGTCGCAGGGTAAAGGCCCTTGGATCTCTATGTCCTGTGCCCCGTTCAGCCAGGAGAAATACTGGGGTGAACGTCACAGGCAGCCCTATGGGAATTACTTTTGAAAACAGTCTTCAGAGGTGAGGGTGTGCAAGAGAGGTTTCCTTAGCTGTAGGATTAGAGGGAGTCTGAGATTTCTGGGGAAGCTCATTAGTAAAAATTAAATTGGGTTTGAGGAAGAGGGGAAGCGGGGAAATGTAGACCACTTCCCTAGCAGCTTTTGAAACAAACTGAATCCTTGTGGTGACAGTTCACAAGGTAGGGTCTAAGGCAGTTAGTTCACTTTTGAGAAACGCATGCAAGTGTTCCCTTCCTCATTAGATAGCGAGCGGCCGTACAGCTTGCCCGAGGTGTGGGCTGTGTATGTGTAACTCTGACTCTGCTGAGAAGGAAATGACTAAACTTTCTGTCAAACCACAGTAACAAAGAACATCTTTGACTTACCAGAATAGTCATGGTAGGGAGGCTTGGGAATAGCTGTGGTACTGCCGGCGCCCCACACCAGGAAGAGCAAATCAATCGGACATCTGCACTCGTGGGGAGCGTGACTCTCCTGTCCTTAAAGACAGCATCGAGGGAGGGAGACAGACCTGGCAGGGCTGGGACAGAGCTTTGTTCTGAAAAGCTATCTGGGCTTTCCTGCACTGGAAATGCTTTCTGCAGTGGAGAAGACGATGAGGACATTGGGGCAAGGCTCTTCAGTGCCTCTGAAGCAGGTGTCAAGAGGGACAGGCCAGCTGCGACAGCAGGCGGCTGGCTGGCCAGCCAGCTCCACCCCGCCCTGTCCAAATCCCCCCGCCGCCGTTTTTTTTCCCCCTAAATTCTTCCCGCCAAGGCTTTTTTTGTTTCTTACAGAGATCAGCTGGCAGGCGGCTGGGGGGGCCAGCCGGCC